GGTCGCCCCTGATCCTCCCCCTCCCCGCACTGCCCCGGCTGGTGTGTCTCACGTCACCCCCTTCCCATCGGTTGTCCCTGCCGATGAGTCTGCTGACTCTAGCGGCTCGGCGGAGTCCCTTCCCCCGCCTGTCCCTGCCCCGGTCTCTCCTCCCTGGTCGCGGACGTTGCTGTCACAGCCACAGCTGACTCCGCAGCTGCCGTTGCTGCAGCACCCGCAGCCGCCGTCGTCACCGCCGCTGGGGTTTGTGCATTCTGGGGGTGCTGGGGAGCGTGCCGGAGCGGGTACTGGAGCGGGTTCCCGTTCTATGGGTGCTGGCATGGGGCTTCTTGGAGGGAGCCGTGGTACTGCTGGAGGTTCTGGTGCTGGCGTGGGGCAGCAGGCGTCGTAGTCGCCACCGGTGTCCGCTCTTCGCCTCCTCGGCCTTTCTTCTCCTGACCGCCCGCCGGTGCCTCCTCGATCGCCATAGCCTTCTTCTCTGCCAGTCTATGGCCCTGTGTTTCCTCCAGTGGACTTTTCTCCGTCTATTTTCCTTACTCGTTCTCCTCCTGTGTCTCCTCCCCTCTCATGACTGGACTCCTCTGTCTCACGTCTGAGCTCGTCGTCCGTCTCATGCTCGTCCTACCTCCCATGTTCCGCGTTCTCACCCTAGGTTGCTTCGCTCTCACGCGTCTCGTGCTCCTCCGCTCCTCCCGTCTCCTACTCCGTCATCGCTCGCTGTGGCCCCACCTCCGTTTTCTGACTTCATCCGTGTCGTACGTCCCCTTGTTCCTCGTGTCCTTGCCTCTTTTGTTACCGATTCGTCCATTTCTGTCTCGAGTTTGTTGGCTCTTGTAACTGCTATCACTGACTTCGCCGCTATCCACCGCTCAGGTATCTGGCCCTCCCTGCCCTCCGTCCGTCGGGGGTGCTCCTGCCCTTGGCCGTAATGTCCTAGAGGACAGGCAGTACGAGCTTGCTTTCCTGACAGAGGCCGCTCCCCATCTCTGTTCCATGCTGCTAGTCCCTGAGGATGACCCAGACCCCCTTGACATCCCGACCCCTCTCACCTACGCAGAGGCCACCTCGGGACCCTAGGCCTCTTAGTGGATAGCTGCCATGGAGCAAGAGATGGCATCTTGGATATCCACCGGTACCTTCGTCGATGCATTTCCCTCGCATGGGGTGAACGTAGTTGATGGCCGATGGCTCTTCAAGGTGAAGCGCCCTCCTAAAGAGCCATCTGTCTTCAAGGCGCGCTACGTTGCTTGTGGCTTCAGTCAGCATGATGGGGTTGAATTCTTTCTAACCTTCGCCCCAACCTTGAAGATGACTACTCTTCGGGCACTGTTACACGAAGCAGCACAGCGCGACTACGAGCTGCACTCACTCGACTTCTCCACAGCTTTCCTCCAGGGCAGTCTACACAAGTAGGTCTACCTGCGCTGCCCCTAGGGCTTCTTCGATACCTTTCCCCCTGGTATCGAATGGCTCCTCCGGCGCCCCGTCTATGGCCTTCGCCAGGCGCCCCGTGAGTGGCATGACACGATGCGTGCTACACTGGCTGACCTGCAGTTCTTCCCGTCGTCTGCAGACCCCTCGCTCTTCTTCCGTTCCGGCCAGACTCCGTTCTACATCTTTGTTTACGTAGACGATCTGGTCTTTGCTACTGTAGACAGAGACGCGCTGGCCTCCGTGAAGGCCGAGCTGCGGAGACACACCTGCACTGACCTAGGAGAGTTGTGCCGCCACTTTGGCTTGCAGATCTCCAGGGACAGAGCAGCGCGCACGATCACTCTCATACAGTCACACTTGGTGCGCCAGGCTCTGCCCTTATCTAGTCTAGGGGGTGTGTCAAATATAAGTGTATGTTTAGTAGACTATATAGGGTTATGCCATAGAATGTACAACCCACTTGCTATATACCCCTATATACTCTCATTCTGCTACACAATTCTAACTCTGAGAGTTACGACTCTACGATGTGGTCGCGTTAGCTCCAACACAGATGACCGCAGCCGAACGAAAGTCGAATAATCTCGCCTCTAATTAGTTCAGCGTTGATTTTTCATAGATGTGCACAATTTTGACGGATTTCTGTTTGTCTACTTCCGAGTTTTTCATTTTATCACGATGTGCGGCGTGCGAGCTCATAGTGTTCCATTTCCGTTTTGTTTTGGGTTCGCTTTTATCATTCTCTTATAGATCGCACATGCGTCAAATTGCAGGCGCACGCGCCAGCCATAATGATGACGAAATTGGGCTGGCATGAGAGGGAAATCCTCTCAAACCGGGCGGGGTTACGTCGACTGACCAACTGGGAGTGTTTTTCCCGTATTCACTGACTAATAGTGGAGCCCGACTGACTGAATGTGTTGCGAATTCGCTAATTCTGAGTACATACTAACGAGGCTCCTATTACTGATCGCGGATGTACTTTTCCGTAACAATATCCCCCAATTGTCTCAATGAGGTTGGTGAGCTGAGGTGTGAGGAGACAGTTGTGGCAACCGCATTGCGCAAAGCAACAGATTGGTGTGTTGCGGTGACAGCTGGACGTCTCCGTGGAGGATGTGTCTGTATCGAGGTGCTGACGTGCATATCCCTCCCTGGCCCGTTGAACCCACGCGAAATGACCAGGGAAGGCACGCGTTCTCGTTAGTCAGCCGGGTTTCCCTGTCTGTCTAGGCTAGGGTCAACAAGCGTTTGTTCAGTACTGGAACAAGGGTTAGGGCGTGTAGCTTAAGGTTTCGTGGGCCCAATTCTGGAACTGGGTTCCCTCACCGTTATACGTCAGTGCCGTTTCCGCACGGAACACCGAGTTTCGAAACTCGTATAGGCAATCTGTCCGCGGACGGAACGTCGAGTTCCGAAACTCGAAATTCCTATGTTCAAACGTGTGCGCGACATTCGAAAGCCCTCCAGGCGAAATGACGAAAAAGACAATGCCTCATCCTATCACAAACAAGAACAAACCGAAGCTGGAGCCGCCCCGTTCGTCGTCTACAACCCACTCTACTCAAAGATTTGGCGCGTGGCGTAACGGTATCGTCGCTATGTCTCGTTTTTTTCGCGGGACTCACGTTGACTTTTCGCTCGGAACTGGAGGAAGATTTTCAAATTTATGACCCGATGTGAGCTGACATGTGCCACGAATGCACCCTCAGAACTTAGATGCATCTGCAGATTTGTGGCATTTTGTAGTTACCCGTGTCTCCTACCTGGTGTATGTTCCAAACCATACAGGACACCATCCCAGCGCGTTCAGAGCTGTACTCCATCCACTACTGACATGGCTGACGGTGGGGAATCCTGCCCTAGCACAGGGGGACCTAGAAGAACACACATCATCCCACCACCCCTTCCGCCCCACCTCCCCCCCACCCCCCACCACAGACCCTACCTTCTCGTTGTGTTGGTCTGGTAGCTGGCCTGATTTGGGGCCATCTCGAGCTGCTGAACTGCCCTCCAGCGTCTTAGGGCGTGGAGCGTAGATTTTGCGGAATGGCAATTCCGGTAGCCAGACTGGTTACAGTCTCCGCAAACGTTGTAGAGTATTTCGCGCCAGGCGTTTCGTCGCGGAGGAGTTTTGATTTTTGCAGAATCAGAACTCTATGTTGCACGCCCTTATGTTCCATCCCTTGTGATTTTGCGGATTACACATGGTGCCCGCCGGAGGCCTAGCTCAATACGTGGCCCAATCAGAAACCATCGCCCATTAGCGTTGTCACACGGGCAACGGCCCACTCAACGTGGGCCGTGAACAGAGCCAGCAGTGCAGCGTCATCATGACAGCGGTGACAAACATGCGGCACAAGACGAAAGATGTGCGCCGCAACCGTTTTCGCCACAAACTTCCAGCCGCGCTCGGAATAGCACTCCCGCGAAGGTCAGCGAGCCTTTTGTTGAGCTCGCAAAATTACACACGCCTCGCTGGGTTTGTTTGTGGCTTGAGCTTCGCCGCATGAAACCGAACGCTGACTTGGCAGCGAAATGGAGTCGCGATGTGCCGATGCCAGGGGTCGTTCTCAACATCCGACAGCCAACCCAGGAACAGACTCGAAAACAAATTCCCACAATCCACGCAGTAGTTATTGTTGCGACACGAACCTTCAGTTCGTAATGTAAGAAATATTTAGAACACGCCCGTAATATTTGGAACTGAAATGCGACTCCAACACCTTACCCCATCACACTGAGTATAAAAGGGAGCAAACCAAACCAGAAAAACTCACTCAACATCTCACCCGCCAACCACCACTCTGGTGCTACACAAGAGAAACTCACTCTCGCTTGAAAGCGCCGAAACTTAACACAGGGTAACTATGTGAACAATGGCTCACCAAAATATGCCACTCAAACCTACCCCGCAAAACATCAAAATGGTAACCTTTGTGCCCGTGCGAAAGGCCCACATGCCCGTGACGATGCTGTGCGAAACCCGTGCGCGTTTTTGTCTACCGGCACCCTGAAAAGTTGTGTTCCTCTGTCAGGCTCAAGGTGTAGCGCCCAGAGCTGTTGACGGTTGGCTATGGTGATGTCTGTGTCCCTGGTCCAACTGGCATTTGGCTGTCTTCCTGCCGCGTCAGGCGATTGGGGTGGTCGCTCGCGACTCGCGCCAGCCCGTGGCCAGCTTGTACAGTACCTGCTAGGCAAAAACGCCAATGACAGACTCAGCATAGAGATATTGCGAGGTGATGATCCCCAGCGAGGCAACCAAAATCGCATTCTTCGATGGGGCAGACGATTCAAGGCGGACAGTACTGTACAGTTCTCTACATTGTACGCTTTCCTCAGGTTGGAAAGGGCGCTGAGTCTGACTGCCACACCACGGCAGCAACCGCCCAGTGGACAGCGACGAAGCAAGCTCCTTCCCCCAGACCAGAATTGTAGCCCGCATGTCAATCTTGTCGGGAATAGCGACGCGACCCATGCCCCAAAATGCTTGGGATGCACAGAACCAGGATGGCCTCACAACCCCACAGGCTGTCGCGCCCTTTCTCCCAACTAACTTACCTACTCCAACAGGCCGAGCGCGAAGCTCGCGTTCGGAGGCATGGTGAAAAAGTGCCATGTAAATTTAGTAGCTGGGTAGTCGACGGGGGTGAGAGCATTCAAGTAGCCAAGAATCACGGTCGCAGGAGTTGTAGTAAGGGCCCATGCACTCACGTTTGAGAAGCTCGAGACTGCGTTTTGACCGAATCCACATTTGAGCGATAAACCTAGAGATTTGCAACTCAGCCCGTCTGTAAGTAACGAGCAGCCGGCAGTAGCGAGAGAAGAACGCACGCGCTTCTGTACTGCATCAAGGCCGCCTAACCGCAACCGACTGAGGCTGTTTTGGGATGACAAAGAGAATGGGGCCGGGAATCTCGCGTTGTTGCTCCTACTTATCGTTTTCGTTCACACGTCGTCGGCATCGCCCGACGTCGCCCGCGCGACCATCCGAAATCCCTCGCAGTTCGAGATCTCCATGCGACAGACGCTGGCGATGCCGGAGGAGTTGAGGCGGCAACATGCGGAGCGCATTCTGGAAGCCGTCCGCAGAGACGAAAGCAGCGACCTTGCCGGCAGCTATGACGGTGGCCGGCACGGCGGACGGCGGCTGCTCGACTCGGCGACGAAGCTGGGTCTGGCGGCGCCGCCGCTGAGCTCGGGGCCGAGCATGGCGGTGGTGAACATGTCGTTCTACCGCTGGGAGAGCGTCGCGCCGCCGCCCGCCGTCGACTGGCGCAAGACCGTCGCCATCACGCCCATTCAGTCGCAGTTTATGGTGCGGCACTTGCTCTGTTGGTTAGACTTCCTTTCACCCCCAGGCCACCCAACCCACCTCCCCCTCCGAATCCGCCCTACCGACAGTTCACCATTGCATCTGTTCTCCTCCCGAACTCACCATGTCATGCTGCTCCGTTCTTTCATGTGTCCTCAGTGCTCGAGCTGCTGGGCGATCGCAGCCGTCGATTCCATCGCCATGATGTGGGCGATCGCCAACAACGCCGTCGGCTCGTCGCTGTCGCCGCAGCAGGTGTGCGACTGTGCGACGAAGCAGTGCTGCCAGGGCGGCTGGCCCGAGTGGGCTTTCTCGTACGTGCTCTTCAACGCCGGAGTCACGTCCAACAACAACTACCCGTACCTGGCGTACGATTCCGCCACGTGTCTGCTCGACACATCCATGCCGTCCATGGCGCAGATCACGGGGTGGGAGCTGGTGCCGGCGTTCAACGCCATGGCGCTCATGAAGGCCGTCAGCATGCAGCCCGTCGTCGCCTTCATCAGCGCCACGACAGCAGACTTCGCGGTAAGCTTCCTAACGCTGGCCATCCCTCTTCTTCGAAAGTTTCGTCACGAGATGCACTCCTTTCATCTGATGGCTGTTGGCTCTCTTCATTTTACTGAGTAACCTGAGTCGTTACGACTTGGCTTGGTCTCGTGACGCCCGTCCATTATGCACTGCCTGCCAACCCGCCGCATCCTGGCCCTTATCCCGCGGGTTCAGCATCTACTTCGGCGTGTGGTTGACGGAGGTCACGCGGTCCACACCAACGCCTGGGCCGCTCGAATATCCGCTGAGTCATTCACAGAACGCTGCCTGCACCTCCCTTGTCTTCCTTCCACCAGATGTACAACAAGACCCGCGCGCTCAACATCTACGACGGCGTGTGCTCGACGGAGGTGAACCACGCGGTGGTGGTGGTGGGGTACAACTACACGGGGCCGGATCTCAAGGGCAGCTATTGGATAATCAAGAACTCGTGGTACGCCACGTGGGGCGACCGGGGCTACATGTACCTCGCCATGACGCCCGACGTGCGCGGGAAGTGCGGCCTCCTCTCGTAAGTAAATCCTTTCGTGCGTTTCGACCAGTAACTTGTGGACTTAAGCTCAGTGGGACGGGAAGGCTTTCTAATAGGTCCGCGATGTCGTTTTTCTTGATCCGCCTACCCTTTCCTCTCCCCATCGTCGACTCAGTTTCCAATAATCCGTCCCCGCCATCTTCGCAGAAACCCCGCCATGTATCCGGTGTACTACCCAACCGGCCCGCAGCCGGCGCGCTTCGCTTCCGACAAGCGCGGCAAGTGGAATATCAACAAAGTGGACGACCTCTCGTCGTCGCTCTTCTCCTCCACCCTCTCCACCTCCACCACCATCTCCGATACAAGTCTGAGTACTTCAACGACGACCACCACCACAACTACGAGCTCAACCGACGTCATGCTCGCTTCAGTCACCGACCCAACCTTGTCCGACTCATCCTCGCTGCTAATCGGCTCTACGACAACGATTAGTACCACGCAGCCTTGCATGGGGACTATCAACCCATGCGGCGCGGGGACGTGCTACATCAACAACGGCTTGGTGCAATGCAACTGCAGCATGCTGCCGAATATGGTTGAGGTGGTGGGAACACCCACGTCGAAATGCGCGCCTCGTAATCCGTGCACAAATTCGAATGTGAATCCGTGTCGCGGCGGAACATGCACAGATGTTGGCGACGGGACGTACACGTGCGCGTGCGCTGCGGGATATGCGATTGGTGCAGCGGTGGACGGTTCGACGACGTGCGTGCCTGCGGCTGGTCTCGCGAAGTCGTATGTTACCGTCCCTGGCGACAACTGCACGACTGTCGCAGCAGATTTCGGCATTTCGACAGCCACCCTCACCGCCCTCAACACTTTCATCAACTGCTCCGATACAGAGTATCTGCCCCCTGGAGTTGTGCTTACCGTTTCGGGAACAGTAACTTCGTCATCAAGTTACTGCACCAGCATTTACACCGTCCGACCTTCTGATACTTGTGCTTCTATAGCAAACAATTATTTCGACGGTTCTCTTACTGCCCTCGGCATAAACAACCCTGGACTATCGTGCAAGCGCCTGTTCAAGTCGCAGCAGATTTGTATTCAAATGGTTTCAGCATCTTCTGCGTCGTCAGCTTCACAGTGTGGGCAAAGTGTTTCGGTGGTCTTTGGAGACACGTGTGCTTCAATCTCCACAAAAAACATGATCACCACGTCAGCCTTCATTTCGTAAGTATTTCCCACCCATTCAGCTTGCTTGTTTACCATGCCACCTCCCCCCTCCCCCACTTTCTATTTCTCTTTCATTCTATATCTTTTCATATTTTGCTCATGTGGTCCAATCATGGAAATCTCAGCAGTGCCCACCTTGCCTTGGTTCGTCTCATATTACTCACCTGTTCTCACTCGCTCCCCTTTCTCATTCCCTTGCTGGTCTGCAGACTCAACCCAGGGCTCAACTGCGGCGCCCCTCTTGCTGTTGGGTCGTACGTCTGTGTGGGCCCAAAATCTCTTGCTGTAAGTTTTGATGCCCTTCGCCCTTGTTGTCGAGCCATTTGTTCATGGCACATGACTCCGTCACCTCATTTTCTTCTCCTTCGTCTCCCTCTCTTCCTCCCTTCTCCCTTATTTTTTCTCTTCCAGACGACCATCAACTGCACTGGGTGGTACAGTGTGATGCAGGGCGACACATGCCCCTCCATCTGGAATGCAGCCAACCTCACCATGTCCATGTTCCTCGCCATCAACCCCGGCATCCAGGTGAATGCCTCCTCCCCCCCTGTCAAGCCATCATCCCGGGCATCCAGGTAACCTTTTAGAACCTCAGGCACCGCCCCTTACAGCCCCCTGTATCACCCCATACCACCATGTCCATGTTGCTCGCCGTCAACCCTGGCATCCAGGTAACCACTTCAACACTCACACATGCCCATACGTGCCTCTCACATGCCTGACATACCACCATATCCATGTTCCTCACCATCAATTTCAGTCTAGAGTACCACCACATTTCACCTCAGCCTCTTTTATTCTTCTATCTCTTTTGTCCCCTCCAGTGCCAGGCTCCTTGACTCTTTCCGCCTCGTTATTTCCTATGCCCCTCCGTCCCCCTTGCAGTGCCAGGCTCCCTACCTTGCCGTCGGGCAGCAGGTCTGCATCAACTCACCCCTTCTGATCAACATGCAGAAAGCTCCCAACGTCTCCTACATCACCCACACCGTCCAGTCCGGCCAAACTCTCACCACCATCTCCTCTGCTTACCAGTCCCGCTGCACTCCCACGTCTGTCTCTGCCGCGTCCATCGGCGCCCAGAACTTCATCGCCAATCTAACCGCCCCTCTGGTGCCTGGCACGCAGCTGATCATCCCCTGTATTGGCCGCATCGGTATAGTGGATTGTGGCTGTGCACCATCCATTCCAATCTGTGGGTACGACATGGTCATATACCCTTCCTACTGTGACGCGCTGTGCAACTATGGTCTTCCGCAGGCCAGCTCTATCAGCGATTGTGGCAGTGCGTGTGCAACTGCGTGCCAGAATCGCATGGGCTTGGCTCCATTGGCTGGCTACGGGTGCTTGCAAGCCATCTGCCCGTATCCCACATGGGCTCCTACAGTATCTTCAGATTGTGCCATGATCACGGGTGATGTCACTGGCCCCTGCTGCAACTACAGGGCAACTACATGCCAGCAGCAATGCACGCTAACTGCAGCTACACTTGGGGGTACGACCACTCAGAGGACCACCAATTACAACGCTTGCTACACTAACTGCATGTGCTGCCAGGCTGCCCCCTGTGGTGGGGCAACCTGCAAGGCTCAATCTTCCTGCTGGCAGGCCAGTCCTCGGAAGTGTTACTACAGCAGCTACCAATACTGGTGGAATTGTACTTATTATCCCATAGATAACCCCATGGCATAGAGATTCCTACCGAGTATCCCTAAAGCCCTTTATTATTATGGATAAAAGTCCTTGTTTGTATTTGTGAAACCACAAAATATAAAATTTTAAAGTGTTCACACTTTCAAAATTGTGTATTGTGAATGCGAAGCTGTTTGTAACGCAATTTAAGACATCGTCGAAGCGCGCTATTCGCCCTTCTCCAACCATATAATGGGGTCGGAGGTCATTCTTCCTCCACCCACGTTTTTCATTTTTCCCAGCTCAAGTTCAATTGAGTTCCCATCCCGCTTTTTTCGCTCCGCCACTCTGGCGAAGTTGAAAACTCTCCCTCGCGGGGAAGCACCCTCCCAGCTTCTCGCAGATATCCTTACGCATAACCAGGCAGCCATGGCCCCTCCTAGCACCCCGGCCAATCGTGCTGAAAATCCGCCCGTCGACACTCCGAACAATTCGGAACCCAAGAAAAACGCCCGTGAAATGGCGGGTGATCGCGGCAACAAGCGTCGGGCAGAGGGTGACCTCGCCCCTTCTGCCCTTGACGTGTTGCTGCGCAGTGGCGAGGTCCACCAAGTTGAGCTTGGTGGGCCACGCGCCAGCGAGCAGCAGGAGACGCGCGCTGCGGATGGCGCGTCTCCTGCTGACGCCAGCGCGCAGAAGGCGCCGAACGGCAGGGCGGGCCCAGCGCGCCAACACCTGCCGCCCCTGCTTTGACCAACGAGCAAGTGGCGGCACTGCTGGCGCTGTTACAGCAAAACACACCCGCGGTTACAGCAGTTGCGACTACAATTTCTGCCTCGACTAAAATTGAAGACGCAAAAAAGGAGTCGTCGCGTCACGTTCGTCCTTCCAAGACCGCCCGCGTCGAGAAGGAGCTCGCCGCTGCCACGCAAGACAATGCCAAGGAAGACAGTGACTCCGACAACGAGGCTGGTGAGGCTCATACACACGCAATTTTTTTCGCACCCACCGAGCACCTCCCACCTCTTCCTTTCTCTAACCCAACCATCCCGGCATCATCCTTCAACAACGCTGGGGTACGCGAGCAAGCCGAGTTCCTGGAAGACCTGCGAGCGTACCTGAAGCACGCGGAGCACAAGGTGCGCCACGGCGACACATCGAGCTCGCTTGAATACTTCGAGGCGGCATACGCGCTCATCGCCAAGCGCTTCGAGCTCCTCCAAGTCGCCGACGCCCCAGACTTCAAGACGGCACACCGCTTCAAGCTCTACAAAGAGAAGAGTGTCCTCACCTCACGACCCTTCAAGCAAGCAGTTGCAGACGTTGCGGCAATGAAACGCGCGCAAGGCTCCTATGGTCGCGGCCATCCTGTTGGAGGCCGCGGCCCTATGGGCTTTGGAGGGAAGTTTGACCCTCCACCGAGCGGCGCCCAGAGGGGCTTCCGAGGCGCTTGCTTTCGCTGTGGCCAGTCGGGCCACACGGCGAACAACTACACTGGAAATGGGAGCGGGCCACAAGGGCCCGCACCCGTTGTGTGAAAAGTATGAGGATTTTTTTGTGGACTTCGGAGTAGGTGCCACCGCACCATGGGGTGCTTAGGGCCGCTGGCCATTCCCTCGCTGGGAAGTAGAATGCAAAGGCCGCTGGCCAAACCCGATAGAGGGTATGAGTATAGGCCGCGGGCCAAGCCCCAAGGGGGGGTAAACATTTTTTGACCTACCTCGTAGTGGCACCCTTGGAGGTGCCGGTTCTTTTCGTTTCATCACTTTTTTTTTTTTTTTTTTTTGACAAGCTAGAATCCTTGTTGGATAGTGGCCAAGGCTTGAGACTCGAAGCTCATGGGCCAAGCTTTTTCAATTCCTGATGATCTCCTTTCTTAAAATAACATTGAGAACCCCAATCTGGAAAAACAAAAAAAAAGGGCCTCACAATGCCTTGGGACCTCACAAGGCAGCTCCGTCTTTGGAGCCTAGGAACCTATCTTGGGTACCCTTGCCATCCAAGCCTAAACCAGAAGAAGGCACAACAAAAAAACGGGTGCGGCCAAACACTTTGTTGGGCCTACAATGTCTAGCGCGAGGCACATAACTAGCCTAGCTTCCGTCCCATCGCATGCTCTTTCATAAGCCATTGGAGGGATTTGGCTTACTAGAACATGCGATGCTTCGCAAGAGAAAGATGGTGCAAGCGAGCAAGAGAGAGAAAAAGAGAGAGAGAGAGAGAGAGAGAGAGAGAGCGAGAGAGAGAGAGAGAGAGAGAGAGAGAGAGAGAGAGAGAGAGAGAGAGAGAGAGAGAGGGGGGGAGAGAGAGAGAGAGAGAGAGAGAGAGAGAGAGAGAGAGAGAGAGAGAGAGAGAGAGAGAGAGAGAGAGAGAGAAAGTGAGAGAGAGAAAGAGAGAGAGAGGGAGAGAGAGAGAGAGAGAGAGAGAGAGAGAGAGAGAGAGAGAGAGAGAGAGAGAAAGAGAGAAAGAGAGAGAGAGGGCAAGAAAGAGAGAGAGAGAGAGGGAGAGAGATAGAGAGCGAGAGGGAGAGTGAGAGAGAGAGAGAGAGAGCGAGGGGGAGAGAGAGAGAGAGAGAGAGAGAGAGAGAGAGAGAGAGAGAGAGAGAGAGAGAGAGAGAGAGAGAGAGAGAGAGAGAGAGAGAGAAGGGGTGAGAGAGCCCGAACGTGAGACAGCAACATCGAAAGCGCATGCGCGGTGGCGCAGCATGCGACCGGCTGCCGGGCCAGATACCCATTGGCCTAGTCCCTTGGATTCATATCGTGTCATGCAGTAGCCTTCATAGACACATCCTTGGCTTAAAAAAAAAAAAAAAAAAAGTATGCTCATGATCACGTTTGGTGGACTTCGCGCTCACTTTGCCCAGCATTTACGATCCTTACCCCATCTTTTCGTTGGATTCCATTTGCAGAACTACTCACACATGACCTCACGGGGCTTGGTGATCCCTTCGAATACGTAGTGACGGACTGGACGGTCTCAACCATGCGCGGGCGCCTGAGAGACGCACTACCCTGGTGGCGTTCGTGGTGCACCAGTAGCTTGATCATATCAGTAATTGACAGAGGCTACTGGATGCCTTGGAAACAAGGGCCCCCACAATTTTTCCGGAGCACCAATCATGCGAGGGCCCAAATTCAGGAGGCATTTACGAAGTCCGCCATCGCGGATCTCCTCCAAACCGGCGCCGCAGCAAAGGTGCCAGAACCAACGCTCACATGCGTCAGCCCTCTCAACGTCGTGGAACAGCGCGACAAATGTCGTCTAATCCTCGATCTGCGCAAGGTCAACCAGGAGCTGCAAATTCCAAAATTCAAGTACGAGGGACTCAATCGCATCGCAGAGTTGGCGCGTGCAGGCGATTGGATGTTTTCAATCTTCCTGAAGTCTGGCTATTACCACGTCGACATTCACCCGTCGTGTTGGAAATTCCTGGGTTTTCAATTTGGCGGGCACTCATACTGTTTCCGCTCCCTTCCGTTCGGACTGGCTACAGCACCGTTCATCTTCACACAGTTGATCAAGCAACTCGCGTGCCGCTGGAGAACAATGGGAGTGCGTGTCATACCGTATGTGGACGATATCCTCTTTCTTTGTCATTCGGATGCCGACGCATGGGAAACTTGCACCCACATTATCGGTGATCTTTGCAAGGCGGGCCTCGTGATCAACGCCAAGAAATCCCACCTTCAACCAACCCAGCGCTTACGTTTCCTGGGCTTGGAACTCGATACCGAACTCGGCCAATTCTCTGTGGGTCCGGAACGGCGGGCCACACTGCAGGCTACTATCCAGTCGCTCCTAGAAGCCGGACGCAGCCAGTCCAAGGTCCCCGTCTGGCACGTTGCGCGGGTTACTGGTATGCTTGCTCCGATGTCTCTTGCGCTTGGGGCCACTGCCAAGGCATTCAGCCACGCTCTGCTGCAGACCATCAACAACGCTCCCTGTTGGAACAGCAGAGTATTGCTCTCACCTATCGCCTGCGAGGAGTTGGAATTCTGGTCAACTGGATTTGACCACTTCAACGGCGCCCCATTTCATATGCGCTGTAGCTACGACGCAGTAATTCACGTCGACGCGAGCAGCCACGGCTGGGGGGCTACTCTCAACACGTTCTCTGGCAACCTTGATGAAGCCAGCATGAACATGCCCGCCGCTTTGCGACACACGTCCAGTACCCATCGAGAGATTGAAGGGGTTCTATGGGCACTGCGGACATACAGCGACCTACTCGGAAACAAGCATGTGCTCGTACGAGTGGATAATCAGGGAGTTTTCTTCATATTGAAGAAGGGTGGCTCACACAACTCTGATCTCACCATCGCTTGCCAGGAGATCATTCGCACGTGTACTACCCACCGAGTCCGCCTCATGATGGAGTGGATCCCTCGCGAACTCAACACACATGCGGACGAGCTTTCCAAGATCCTCGATCGCGATGACTACACGCTGAAAACGCCGTGGTTCAACATCCTTGATCGGCGCTTGGGTCCCCATTCCATTGATCTCTTCGCCAATGCTAGCAACGCCAAGCTGCGTCGTTTCTGTTCCGAAAACCCGCACCCTGCTGCTACGGCGATCAACGCTTTCACAATCTCTTGGTCGGCAGAACATGGCTTTGCCTTCCCCCCACCTCAACTGATCCCCGCCGTCCTCAACCATGCGCAACGTACACACGCGTTTCTCACCCTGGTACTTCCCCACTGGCCCGGCGCCAGCTGGTGGCCACTCCTCCAACTCTCACCGCCAGCCTGGGCTAGCCCCATCAAAGCTCACATCCGACTCACGTACGGAAGCCAATGCTTAGCCCCAGGCACGCACACTAGCGCCTTCTCCGGCTCTGGTCTACCTGATAGCCTCATGCTTGCTCTGCAAGTCACGTTTCCCTAATGTCTGCCTCCCCGCCTGTATCGCAAACAGATCTAATCCCAACCCTGTAACGCGAGCTGCTCTCGGTCATGGCACAAACGCGCGCACACTCCACAATTCGAACTTACGAACCTTACTGGCAGCAGTTTCGTTCCTTCTGCATCAAGGTCAACCTTCCCTTCCTGCCAACCGCGGACATGACACTCGCCTTGTACCTTGTCTATGCAATTCGAAACAAGGCCACTCTCTCATTGATACAATTCACATGCTCGGCCGTCAGCTTCGCTCACCGCATGATTGGGGCATCCTGCCCCAGCACTGGCCCTTTCACGTCACAAGTTCGAGAATTCGTCAAGCGACAGTGTCCCCGGCCCAATCGGACCAAGGAACCGGTCTCTTTACATCAAGTGCATGAGATGGCTACTCACTTCATCGGTGCTAACGACCCAGCCACATTCCAGAAAGGTCTCATTCCCCTTCTCATGTACGTCGGATTTTTGCGTTACTCCGATCTCGTGGCCATCAACTGGGAGGATATCCAGTTTGAGGATGACGTAATGTGGCTGCTCATCCCACGCTCCAAAACGGACCAGGCAGGTCAGGGCTCATGGGTTCCTGTTGCTGCCATCCCAGGACCCCTCTGCCCTGTCCGATGCACCAAACACTTCATCCGGTTGGCAGGCTATGGACCCACCACTCCCGGACCCTTAATCCGGGTGTTCGGCGTGGTCGCAGGTGGCGTCCCCACCAGCAAGCCGCCATCATACACCATCATACGCAACTCGTGCAAGGAGGCTTTCCAGTCCATCGGCCTGGGTGAGCATCACCTCAACACCCACTCCTTTCGCAAAGGCGCTGCGACCGTCGCTGCCCACGGAGGCGTAGCGGACCGGCTCTTCAAACGTCTTGGCCGATGGCACAGCGACACGGCCAAAGAAATGTACGTCACACCCGCCGTCGACCAACTGGTTGCGGCCTCCCGCAACGTACAGACCCTCGGGTCAGCACCATCCCCGGCACAACATTCTCGAGCTCTTGTACGCCACCGACAGCCATCTCCCTCCATGTCTCAGGTCAACCCAGTGGAATGAGAACGACGCCATTTGCACTACAAGTAGCGAACTTTCTCAATATATAAAATTTTAAAGTGTTCACACTTTCAAAATTGTGTACTGTGAATGCGAAGCTGCTTGTAACGCAATCTAAGGCATCGTCGAAGCGCGCTATTCGCCCTTCTCCAGCCATATAATGGGGTTGGAGGTCATTCTTTCTCCACCCACGTTTTTCATCTTTCCCAGCTCAAGTTCAATTCCCGCCCACCCAACCCGCTTCGTCTACTCTCTTCAACATGCACCGCTTCGGTGGATCATCCTCGGCATAGACATATCCCAGTGTAGATAGTTTAGAAAGTTTATGCTAATAGATGAATATATTGTGAACTCTTTGTACTTGATGCCAGTGGAATGAGAACGATGCCATTTGCAGTGGAATGAGAACGATGCCATTTGCACTACAAGTAGCGAGCTTTCTCAATTCTGCCTATTATTTTAAAGACAGTGGCTAAAATTGCAATCAAGATTCCTCTTTGATTTCCTCTTGAACTTGGCATATACGATTGATATTCAAAATGACTGAAACATACTGGAAATTTTTGTAAAAGGAAAAAAAAAAAACAGAACCTGACCTTAGCGGTTTGGTGCCACTTTTACGCGAGACCCACGTGGTGAACAGTGAAATTCGCTTCATGCGACCAACCTCTATACAGGTCCTATTCCCGTAGAGCAAACTCCAAGAACTTTGGAATGAGGCACTTAGCTAGCAAATAGTGCGGTACGCCCCGGGCAAATTTGCCTGTAGCGTTTCCAAAAAGGAGCGCTGTCGTATGCGCAGCTGGCAGGGGCAGGGACGATGTCGGTAGCTGCGACAAGGTCCACGTAGGCATGTCGCTAGGCATTCGCACGGTCGCACCCTTTTCGCAAGGCGTCGCAAGGCCCCGTTTCATCACCACACCCGATTTGATGCAGAGTCTGGCAAACAAAGACACTTCTGAACCTTGACAAAGCAAATTCTCGATAGTAGACATACTTGAAGCTACATTAAGCTCGAAACATAAAAAGAACCTTAAAACAACGGTAACAAATGTTAGAATAACGCAATGAACTAGATTGTGCCATACAGGGAGGTTTTGTGCTACGGTGCTGTACCCTCTATGAGCATGCACTTTTATAGCCTATAACATATACAAATATATATCGACACACCCCCTAGGCTAGACAAGGGGCGGTGTCTGGCAAGAGACACTCAGGAGGAAGTACCGTAGCTAGATGTGCTTCGCTCTGCCCTCCAGTCGAGGCTCCTGACACAGGAGGATCATGGCCTTGTTGTCAGCGTACAGGACCGGGGCAGAGCTAGGCCGCTCACTTAAGTCTGTGAGCAGGAACGTCAGCCAACGGAGCTCCTGTGTCGCCATGGCACCAGCGTAGATCTTAGCCTCGCAGCTAGATTGTGCAACAGACAATGAGCGGGTGGACCTCCACGAGACAACGCCTGCACCAACGCTAAAACAGTAGCTCTGAGAGGACCTGAGCATCTGAGGGTCGTCGGCCAACGGAGTATTCGTATGCCCTGTCAGGACCACTGGCCTGCGTCCTCCTAGCACTAGCCACATGCCCGATGTACTTGCTAGATAACGCAA